GAGACAGACAGACAGAAACAGACAGACAGACAGACAGACAGACAGACAGACAGACAGACAGACAGACAGACAGACAGAAACAGACAGAAACAGACAGACAGACAGACAGACAGAAACAAACAGACAGACAGACAGAAACAGACAGACAGACAGAAACAGACAGACAGACAGACAGACAGACAGTGAAATGTACCTGTATTCATCTGTAGGGTGTGCAATTTCTATTACATCGCCCAAATTGACCTGATGAAAAACTTTAGGGTTGACAACCAACTCATCATCTGCTCAAAGGAAAAGCAGATTTGTAATAAAGTTCCACACACAGTAAATACAAAATGATACAATATGTGAAATATGATACAGAAATATATTCTTACCGTTCCCACCGAACCCTTTTTTGTGAAGAACTAACTTTGTCTTCATGTTGAACCAGGAACAAGTTCAGCAGCTGATTCCTAAAAGTCAAAACAAGTTAACATCAATAAGTTATAGTAGGTCTGTTCCTCTCAGAGTGACTCAGCTGAAATTTGAGTCCAACACCTGAATTTATGATTTTCCTACCTGACAGGGTCATTGTTTAAAAATAAAATAAAATAGTGGATTGGAGTATTCAAAACAGGCTCGTGTCACTAAACTGCAACATCAAGTCAACTTGATGTGTTTTAGAAAGCCAAAGAAAACTATTTAAAAGCTATGTGGACATTTGTTTTGTAAACAAAGCTCGTCATCCAGTGACTGCATGTGAAATGTGTCAAACGATGAAGATGAGGTTCAACACAATCTGCTAACATGCGCTATTCTGAAAAGAGAAACAATATCAAATTAAAAAAAACAAACATTTCATATCATAACGCTATTTGATAAAATATTCATGTCAGCTTATCTCTTTGGGGTCATTAAAAAACTGGGATGGTTGACTTTGATTCTAATTTCAACTAGACACCGCATAGCAGTGACATAATGACCCCCGCACGCACAAATGCACCAGAACTCAGAAGTCTTTACTGCTAATAAATGTCATGCTACTCGGTGCATTCTAAAATTG